TTGGAGGAGATAATGTTGATTATTGGCCTTTTTTCAGAACAGATGAGATATTTGATAGTCTTCAAAAAGCTGTTAACTATGCAGTCGGTATGGCAACTATCTGTGGTTTTAAACTGATTATTTCAAAGCACTCAAAGAAAGGAACATTAAGGATTCTGAAGTGTAACCGAGGGGAACGTTATCGAGGTAATAAAATATCCAATCTTGTTAATGTTGTCTTGAGAAAGTCGAAAACAAAATATACCGGATGCCTGTTTGAGATGAAATTGAAAAAAGTGGCCGGTACGAAAGATTCCTGGACTGTATGTTTTCCTCTGGATGACCGGAAGGGATACCATAATCATCCGATGGTTTTGTATCCCGAGGGTCATCGACAGTTCAGCGGATTGAGTGAAAAGGCGAGACAGATCGTCCGTGACATGACAGCTGCCCAGGCAAGACCGACGATAATATTGGCAGCGATACAGGAGAAATACCCGTATGACAACGCGATTCGTCAACAGGTTTACAACTATAGGGCTGAACTCCGATCAGAGAGTTTCGAGGGTAGAGATGTGACTTCCCAACTTATGCATTTGGCTAGCCGGGCTAATTACATAGTTTTCGCCGATTCTGATAAGGACAAACACACCTTGACACGTGTGTTCATGTCGCATCCCCAGTCAGCCCTTCTCTTTCAGACATATTATTGGTACGTCGGTATAGATTTGACGTACAACCAACAGGTACGTTACTTTATAAATAACAATTTAGTACGATTCTTAATTATTATGCCTGAGTAGGTACGTTTTTTTATTCTTTGTTTGATTTTGTTGCCCTCATTTGCACAGGTACAAGATGCCGCTTGTGGAAATAATAGGGATGACGCCGTGCAACAAGAATTTCTTGATCGCATATGCAATTGTGAAGGACGAGATCCAGAACAGCTATGACTGGGTTCTGAAGCGGTTGAGAGATCTGAATGGGCCTGATGTACATCCTTCAGTCATTGTCACTGACAGGGAGATGGGGTTGATTAATCCTATTATGATTAATTTTCCGATGTCTGCCCATCTTCTTTGCACGTGGCACATCAATAAGGATGTGGAACAGAGGGTCTATAAAATCATCCACAAAAATAGTCAATTCGCCGAGATGTTCACGCGTGGTCGGTGGAAGAAGATCCTGGAAGCGAGCACGGTGGTCGAGTACGACACTGCCGTGAAGGACATGCAGCTTCGGTACAAGAAGTTTCCTCTTGTTATACAGTACGTAGAGGATACGTGGTTAGTCCACAAGGAAAAATTTGTCAAAGTGTGGACGAATTACTTCCTGCATTTGGGTAACACCACGTCGTGTAGGGTGGAGAGTTCCCACAATGTGTTGAAGCAGTGGCTTAACACGTCCACCGGTTCTCTTGACACAGTGTGGGAGAAGGCTCACAAGGAGATTGAGTCCCAACACACTCAAATCAGGTACGTTAATTTAATAAGCTACACATATTTATTGTGCTATTCATGTATCTATATATTTATATTTTTTTGCAGTTTTAGTATATAACAACTACTCCTAAGCAATCTAAAATCAGATTAAATGATATTATAATTTAAACATTTTTTCAAACTATTTATGTGATTTTTATTTTATTTTTGTTTTAACTCATTAAACAAGTTAATTATAAATTCATTCATGCAATCTATTATCAGGACCACGCTGGAGGAGTGCCGGAACAAACGAAGTTACCATTACACCGGATTTCCGTTCTCTCAGCTAACACTGAGGGTCTCGCATTATTGTTTGGAGTTATTGAACGAAGAGTATAAAAGGATGCGAGACTTAAGCGATGAGGTTACGACGCACTGCGGGTGCGTACTCAGATGGACGCATGGACTTCCTTGTGCCTGTTACATGAGTATGACGTGCAATGCTAATAACCCAATTACCACGGACGACATTCACGAGTTCTGGATAACACTTGAGGTGCCAGGTATAATTGTGATATTAAATTGAATGTTTTTTTTTCGTTTATTTTTTTTATACTTCACGTACTGTTTTATATATATATATATATATAATTTATATATAGGTTATGATGTTTAATGTTTTAAATTTGGTTGTACGAACAGATGCCCAGAGTAGTGCACGACCATCCACGAGTTGTGCACGGCCATCGACGATTGGGTGGACACACCTGTCGTATTTTCGGAGCCTTGCGGAGGAGGTCGAAGAGGCCAATCCTGCGACCGTGCGTCATTTGAATCAGTACATTTACTCTCAGCTTCACCCTGACCAACAAGGTTATGGAGAACCTGAAGTGAAGGAAAACACGCGAGGTCGACCGAAAAAGAGAAATTCAACGAAACGTGATCCATGTGTATGGGAGTACCGGGAAAGAGGTCGTCCGGTGGGCCGTAAAAGAACTTCGTCACAAGCACCGACTAGCTCGTCTTCTCAGCGTTCAGAAGGACCGACAGGTTAAATTCTAATTTAATTTCTTTGTGTTTTAATCACTTCATCGAATTATGTTCATAAATAAATTCGATTATATATATTCTAACGTGAAATGTTTGTGATATTATAGAGACGTTCTCGACAGACTTCTTCGGTTACCGGCATTGGAATAGCATTCCCTACATTGTGCACGACTACGTAGAGAGCTACTTGGATGTGACCGACGATGGGAACTGCGGATTTCAGGCAATTGCGAGCTATATTTTTGGTGACCAGGAGAAGTACCGGTTGGTAAGACAGATTATTGCAAATGAGATTGTGGGGAACATTCCGAGATACGAGTCCAACTTCTTTGACGGGATCGACGCAACACTCAATCGAATATGCTGGGACGGGGGCCCTTGTGGCCGTAACCACTGGATGGAAACTATGTGCGACCTCTTTCCCATTGATACATTTTTTAATGCAGTTGTCGTCTTGTTAGGCATGGGTGAGCATGGTGACAATCCCACCTTTTATAGTTCTACTGTACTGCCCCTCGTCGCACCATCGACGGCTACATATCCGGAGCGAGAGATCGTCTTGTGTCACCTTGGTTGTTACCCACACTACATTCGTGTTAATTTGACGCCCGACCATCCAATACCGCCTATATGCCCTTTTTGGACGTCGCTTCGAGATCCATCGGTTATCGGTTGGGAGGATTACTACAGCAGCAGAATAGCTGCGTGGATCAGGATTCGTGATGCACCTAGGTCTTGATATTCTTATTATATTCGGTTGTGATTATTCGTTATTTTGAACTTATTTATTTCATTGACTTCGATTTTGAGTTGATGTATTTTTTTAATTATAATATAGTATAGCATATCGAAAATATAAAAACATAATGTGAATGAGTAACGACATATAAAAAAAAAGAACAATTCAACCAAAAGTGGAGCGTACATGAAATAAAAAAAATAATTTAACCAACAACCGACCCAACAGTAAATAAAAAAAAACAACTCAACCAACAACCGACCCAACAGTAAATAAAAAAAACAATCAAAAGTCGAGCGTACAATAAATAAAAAAATTAACAACAACATTATTTACATAAAACATCAACGCTGCATCGCTCTCTCCCAGTCTGCCTTAACTACGGCCAGAGCGTCTACGTACTCCTTCGTCAAATCAGGATCAACACGCTCGAACAACGATATGTACGCAGAGTGGACGTCGTCGAAACGTTTGATCCACTATCCACAACGAAGAGTTACAATAAATAAACATTATAATGAAAGCACAAAGAACAAAAATAAAATAAATAAACGACTTACATAAGAAGCATCGACGCGCGAAGGGACTGGGGGAGGCTCCGTGGGATCGCCACCCTACAGCTTCGGATGAGAAACCCGAGCGAACCACTCGGAGTACCCCGACTCGACCTCCCCTGGTGTAACTGTGGTGGGGGTGTAGGCAGCCAGGTTGACGGCCGACAACTGCGGGAACTCGTCCCAGGAATCCTCTGCAGCTTCTGCAGAGTGCTCGACCTTGTATAACCTAGACTCCCAAGCCTGTACTACACTGGATGGCCGACGGATCTTGGGAGGGATACGCTGGACGTAGCCCAGCTGACGCAAAAACCACAGAGGATTGTAGGGCTTCACGATGTCGCGGTACCTAATGCACCCGGCATAGAGGGTCCTATCCTCGATATCAGCAGGGTTGCGACCGTACGGCAACCAGTTCACCTGTTCAAAATTGCACACAAACATTTATTATAACACTCATATTTTTTAAAAAATAATATTTAACAAAATATAAATAACACTTATAACATTCACGTACCTAGTCCACCCTTAGCTGGTCAAGGGCGACACAGTAACCCTGAAGGCGATCTGCGGACCTCTGAGTCACCGCCGTGCTCCACCAGGTAGAACGTGCGGGAGCGCCATCTACTGGCCGAGGTGCCTCGTGGGGGCGAAAGGGCAGGAAGTACTCAAAAATCCAGGTCTGCAGGAGAGCCAAACAGCCAGTCAGTCCCTTGGAGTCCCCCTTGCTGGCAACACCTAACTGTCTGTATAGGTATGCCAGTGTAGCCGAGCCCCAGGAG